TCCGCACCAGGCAATAAAATTGTTATTATGTAGCAAATACACTCCAGTGTGGTCCACGTTCACACCGGCAAACGAACCAAAACTGGTTCGATTCACGTGTCTCTGTTTCCCCGGTAAAACAGCGATACTCCAGTTATCAACACCGATGTTCCTGTTAATACCACGGGCCGTCCTCATCTCAAATTATCACCATGAACTCTTACAACAGCAACATGTAGAACTTTGTACAAACCAGAGTCCTGAACCAGCGGGGGCAGCTCCAGTTCAGGCCGGGCTCAGAGGAGCTGGAGCGGGAGGCCTCGACCTGAGGAAGCGGCTTTCCCCGGGAAGAACCAAATGCGCGGAGGACGGACGCTCAGAACAACATATAACAAACCAAACTGGACTCACGCTTCTGTCCGGATGCTGCACCACCTCGGAACCAGCCGCGGTTCTTGAGCGCGGAGAACCAGAGCAGCGCGCCGGACCTGTAGTCCACAGCGCATTCTTGCTTTTCCCGCACGGAAACAGCGCGCAGACGACGGAACGTACCCGCTCGGACTCAGTCCATCAAGCACTGGTCTTGCTCGCCACCGTTTGGAACCAGCACATGGAGGACAGAGCCTCCGGACCATCTGACCAACGAGCTTGTAACAGAAGACCAAGGACCAGACCCCAGCCCCGTCCTGAGGAGCTGCGCGCTACTGTGAGCGCTGTTGGCTGCTGCTGTTACCCGAACTCTGGGCTGATGCGGTGAGTTTGTACAAAGTTCTACATGTTGCTGTTTTATGAGTTCATGGTGATAATTTGAGATGAGGACGGCCCGTGGTATTAACAGGAACATCGGTGTTGATAACTGGAGTATCGCTGTTTTACCGGGGAAACAGAGACACGTGAATCGAACCAGTTTTGGTTCGTTTGCCGGTGTGAACGCGGACCACACTGGAGTGTATTTGCTACATAATAACAATTTTATTGCCTGGTGCGAACCAAATAATCGAACTAGCGGTGTGAAAACGACCTTGAAATGACAGAAACACGTCATAAATAACACATTACAGTTTTGAAGTAACTCGCCCAACAGTGGTTACAAAGGCAGAGGACAGTAAACGCCAAATAAGGGTCAAAGATCAATTTTGAGCTCAGTGTCTTTTTGTCAGGACAAAAAATAAACTTTGAAATCATTTTTCTCAGTTTCACACTCTGGCAAGTTAAGGTCTTTTGCTTTGTAGGGAAGTGCAGAGCTTTGATCTTTTGAACACTTGAGAGTCTCAAAGCGAGTTGTTTTACTGTAGACAGAAAACGGCTGACGCGATCTCGCTCACAACTTTATATCCTGTGGTCTGAAGTCTTTGCGATCGAAGTCTCATAAGATTCTCCTCGTGTCTGTGGTGTGCGCTTTTGGTCGCACGTTTAAAAATCATTTAAGACCGAAAATCCTGTAGCGTGTGGCAGCCTTTAAGATCATCTGAACTGTTTCTTGACCTAGAGATGGACAGGTTTAATGCCATACTGTGGAACATTCTAGACAAAGCAAGAATCTCCAAGCAAGTAGCAGACCCTCCACCATAACAGTAATATAGTGTAATGTGTGGGTGTCAGATCTAAGCCTGTACATTGTGTAATTTTCTAAAGAAAGTAAAAGTTATCTGGTCTTTTTTGTTGGAGATTGGATCCACGTTCTCCTTCACTGTTTAATCACGCTCTTATTGTTCTCCCTGTTACAACAATCACACTTGTATGACTGAATAATGCCTCAATTTGATGCTATTGTGAAAAACTAATTCCACCTTGTTCTGGTAGACAAGACCTGTTTTTCAGACATGTTCACGCTTTTTGAGTATTGTTTCATTTCAGATTCTACGTGGAAGACAAAAAAAAAATCCCACCACTGTAATCTATAACACAGTGTCACTCAGCGGATATATGACAAAACTTTTAAGATTGGGCTGCAGGATTAAAGGGACAGTCAGGAATTTTAGGCATAGGCATTTACATTAGGGATGAGCATTCGATAAAATTTTCTTAATCGATCGTCGGGAGAATTAACGATCAATTTTGATTAATCACTAATGTTTTTATATTAAAATTATCATAATTTTTTCTATCTGCACTACTAGTCTGCATAAATAAACTCAACTTTACGACATATACAGTAAACCGTAACCACTCTAGAGCCACATCAGCCCGTTTGACATTATAATGTGTTTAATGCAGTTTTGTGCAACTCTCACAGAAACAAAACTTATAACCACATGGCTAATTTGCATAAACTAAGAGAAGAAAAAAACAGCTCTTGTGCACTGATGCAGTTCAACTTCTGTCGGACTAAAGGACACGACTCAGTGGAATACAGGTCAGTGAGACCATATTTGCGTTTGTCAAAACCAGGACACTGTACGGGGGGTGGGAGGTGGGGCCTCGTCATTGAGCTACTCTCACCTGGCAAAGCTTTTTAATGTTTTTCGGTGTTCTGGTGAGCTTTGAGGTCCCTGACACCCCCACTGGACACTGAAACATATGTTCCTGCTTTGTACACTGTGGACATGACCTCACACTTGTCTCGACTGGGACGGAAAGCGTGGAATTTCTTGTACAAGTCATTGTTAAATGTGCATTTGCAATTTGGCATGTTGCAGACTGACCGACTGTTTGTGTCTGCTCGCTCCTTCTAAGTGCAGAAAGCTACGAGAGCCACTCAGTTTAATGGCCCAGTGAAAGATCATGAAAACCCATACATTTGCATCACTTTATAAAAAAAAAAAAAAAACCCGGACGGCTAGGGCAGGACGTGGAAAACGGACATGTCCGGGGAAAAACGGACGTTTGGCCACCCTACGCTACGCACAGCAACCAACATTCTGATTAATCGACAAATCATGCTCATCCCTAGTTTACATCGACAGTCTGGTGTAATAATAAATTTGCTTCAGGTGTTTTGTGGAGTGGGTAAGACTGTTTTTAGTGTCAGGATAACTATGACCATTGACATGCACTAGTCTAGCACCAGCGACCTCTGCAAATACAAGGACTGGATGGAATATTTAAAAAAGTGTCTCCACACATCTCCAACACTCTGGATCACTAGGAAATGAGGTCCTATGTCCAAAATTCCGGACTGTCCCTTTAATCTCAATGAACGATTCGATGGAAATTCAGTATATAGACAGTTAAAGCCATACTTCGGAACATTCTGGATGCAGATAGACTTTTTTTTATGCCAAGCTGTGCAATAATTCAACCAAACAAAACAACATTTCAATGGAGACCAGCCCAATTAATAGTCAGGTTTGTGGAGTTGCAAGCCAACTCACAGCAACAGTGCTTGTTTTTCCAAAGTTTTTCAGAGCAATAAAAACATCCAAAACTAAAGAACATAGTTTCATTGGGCTTTAAGAATTATAATCCCTGTTGCAAAGAAAAAGAACACTGTTTTATAATTATGTCAAGAACCCAAAAAACCTCATAGTTTACACCTCAGAAAATGTTCTAAATGTACAGGATTCTTGTTTTAGTTTAGCAGTGCATATATTTATCAGTCTCCTTCCAATTTTAAGGTTGGGATCAGTTCCATGAATATTGATACTTTGCAGTGACATTACGCTGGGGGGGTTTTGTATATGTGTCTGTTGGCAGAATCAGCAGTTACCGTGGTGACACAATGCACACATTAGCAAACACTGTCAAAAAAAAGTTTGAATCTCAAGAAAAAATACCGAATTTATTTAAACTAGGGATGGGCATGATTAGTCGACTAATCGATAATTGATCAGTTAAGAATTTCGCCGATTAATTTAAATAAATTTTTAATCGACAAACCGAATGTAGGTTTCTGTGCGTAGATATGAAGCTGCATCTGACAGCGCAAACACTGGAGTTGCGGCCTCAGTCCCACGTTTGGGCTCTTGCACCTCCTTGGAGATCACTGTACCTCTCAGTGAGTGTGTTTAGATGCACATCAGTGTCCCGGTTTCGTCGTGGTGCATGTAAATGCGGTATCCCAGTTACTGCAACATAAAGAGCTGCACTAAACCTGCACACGTATGATCTTTGAAAACATCACGACACACAGAACAGACTCACCACCAGCACCAACGTCCCTCTGTCACAGAAAGGACACCTATATTCCACTGAGTCGTGTCCTTTAGTCCGACAGAAGCTGAACCACATCAACGCACAACTGTTTTTTTTTCTCTGCTTATGCAAATTATCCATGTGGTTTTAAGTTTTGTTTCTGTGAGACTTCCGCAAAGCTGCATTAAACACATTATAATGTCAAACGGGCTGATGTGACTCTATAGTGGTGATGGTTTATATGTTGTAAAGTTGAGTTTATTTATGCAGATTAGTAATAGTAATAATAATGATGATACTTATTATATAAAAACGTTAATGATTAATCGAAAATCGATCGTTAATTCTCCCGACGATCGATTAATAACATTTCACCGAATGCCCATCCCTAATTTAAACAGCACATTTTCAGGAGCCTGTTATTAGTGCGAGCGTTCATGGTCCTGTGTAGGTGTTTGAAAGTTGAGAGTAACTAACTAAAAACCTGTTGTCTAAGGGCCTGTTTACACGAGAACACTTGCGGGTAAAAACGACAAAATAATTTATCAGAAGTGCCTTTTGTTTAGACGGTGACGCCATTTTTGGGGCTTAAAAATGCAAAAATCTGAGCTAAATGCATAATAATTTTCTTTAATTATGCACTCGTTTCACAGTTTTATTATTACCAGCCAACCCAAACCAGGGATGTTCTAATTTATATTGAAAATCTTGTCATCTTAGTAAAAGCAGCTTCAGACAGAGTAGTGCTTACTGTTAGCTTCATGTCCCGCAGAGATATTGACGACATCAGCTGCAAAATATCAATAAGTCAGTGTAATTTCACCAAGAACTACCAAGAACTTCTCTTGGATGTGTTTTTAAAATGTGGAGTTTAAACAGAGTATCTTTGAACACATCCAGGCTTTGATGATGTTGATGTAGAGTGTTTTTGTTTTTTTTTTCCACAGGAACATTTCTCACACGGCTCTCAGCTCCGTACCCAGCTCCATCCTCAACAGCCTCCAGAAAATCATCGCCAAATCTGCCTCAAACCTGAGACAGTTACCCCCCTTCACCAGACTGGTCGAGGCTGAGCTCACCTACCCCTCCCACTGCTGCTCCTTCAAAAACATGACCAGAAACAGGTAAAAACACACTACAGTTGTACTTCACAGATGGTCTGAAACTCAAGAAAAAATATGTGTCAAATCTTCAATCTTAGCAAGTCACAATTTATCTGCAGTTTATGAACTACCAACATTTTGTCCACAAATAACAAAATATTCTTCATATTCTGCATATAAACTACCGTATTTTTCAGACTATAAGGTGCTATGGAGTAGTCCGAAGTCACACCAACCAAAAAAATGCATAATGAAGAAGAAAAAAACATATATAAGTCGCATTTTTGGGGGGAAATGTATTTTATAAAATCAGAGACCAAGAACCAACATTTCATCTTGAAAGAAAAATTATATTCATAACAACAGAACAGAGACCAACAAACTGTTAACATCACATATGAACAGTTCTTCAGATTAAACTATAACATAAACAACAGAACAAGTTCACCAAACTCTCCATCTCACTCCAAATCACTAAATCCATTCAATTCTTCATCCTCTGTGTCACTTCTGAGCAACTCTGCGACCTCTGGTGGTAAATGGAGCGTCACTTCCTCTTTTGTGTAGCTGTCGTCAGACTCATTATCACTTCTAGTTCGAATTATTTCGGCCTTTCTGAATCCCGACAGGATGGTTTCTGTGTCACTGAAGTCCAGGCTTTGTCCATCCATCCATGACTTCCATGAATTTTTGTCAGTGAAAAAGAGTGGGAACCCTGAAATGTGAAATTTGAATGCTACTGAAATGGTAAAAGGTCACATTTTTCTATAGCACTCAAAGCGTTTTACAACAAGGAACCACTCACCCATTCACACACACATTCACACACCAGTGTACACAGACACTGTGGGCAAGGTGGGTTAAGTGTCTTGCCCAAGGACACAACGGCAGCATTCATCTGTGGGAGCTGGAATCACACCAGCCAACCTGTGGGTCAGTGGGTCTGACCGCTCAACCTGTGATGTTGATGTTGAGAGCTGGATTCGAACCTCCAACCTTTAGATCAGTGGGCGAATGCTCTACCAACTGAGCTACTGCCGCCCATAGTTTGCCAATGGTCAATCAAAATGGTTGTAAGAAAAATCACAATTTGATATTTAGCAGCACTTTGGCAGCACCTGGAGGACGAAAAAAAAGTGTGAGGGGAGAGGAGGGGCGGAGCTAGGGGTATAAGAAGCAGTGTGATTGGTCAAACAGGTATCCACACTTCAAACTCCACCCTTTCAATCAGTGCAGTCCTGTGTGATGTCACATAGTACTTGAAATAGTTGCAGTGGCCACAGGAGACAGTTTTTGGCATTGATATTGACCACAAAGCTGCCAATTTACATAATTTGCCCTAACAATGCCAAAAATTACTACAGATTAGTAATTATAGTTAAGTCGTGTGAGCTTTAAGACAATTTATGATGCTGTTTCCTCATTAAAAACATACTTAGAGTTGTGTTTTATTTCATTCACCCATGTTTGAATAACTCTTTATCAAACTCAAAATGCTCTGTTCCACTTTGTGATGTCATGTAGTGGTTGTTTTTTCAAGTTAACTCTTAACACCTTTTACCTTTAGTTCAGTAGAAATTGGCGATTTCCGAGGCTGAAATTACCCAAATGATTCAAGTGAAAGTGTATGGAGTTTAAAAACACATTGGAGCACTTCCCGTATAACCACATGACATCACAAGAGTGTTTTCAGATTGAGAGAAGTGTCCGTTAAACATGTGTGAATGAAACAAAACAACTCTAAGTATGTTTTGGATGAAGAAACATTATAACAGATCATAAAGTAGTGTAATATAGGCCCTTTAAGCAAAACACAGTGTCATATTTGTGTTTTTTTTTTTTTTTTTTCAGGTCAATAGAGCATTACCTCTGCTCCCACCCTCTGGCCCACACAGACCATCACATCAAGAATCGCTGCCTGAACATCAACTCCTCCTGCTCCCCGACTCCCGACGAATTCAACCCCTGTGAAGACATCATGGCCGCTGTGTCTCTACGGGTGCTCATCTGGGTCATTTCTGTTCTGGCTCTGATTGGAAACGCTGCGGTGCTGCTGGTTCTGTTAGGTGTGTAGTAAGTAGGACGACCAGGTCAGCCTGCTATTGATATTCCTAAGCAACATTGTTTAATTTGTTTAAAAAGGCAAGTTGGAGGAAATGTGAGAATTCTGCTGTTTACTCTGTTAAATAATCTAACAGTCTCCGGGGCTTTTGTTTCATAAATTAAAACTCAGCGTTTATGTCGTCTCTGCATTAAACATGGACAACATGAGACTCACTGGGAATTCATCTGTGAAACTAATTCATGCAAATTTATGACTTGGACGATTTCCAACAGTTTTGTTCAGTTTTAGTCCTGGTTTAGATAGATAGATAGATAGACCTGGTGTAGACTTGGTTTAGATCTGGTTTAGACCTAGTTTATATTTGGTTTAGACTTGGTTTAGATCTGGTTTAGACCTAGTTTAATCCTGTTTTAGATCTGGTTTAGACCTAGTTTATATTTGGTTTAGACTTGGTTTAGATCTGGTTTAGACCTAGTTTAACCCTGTTTTAGACCTGGTTTAGATCTGGTTTAGACCTAATTTATATCTGGTTTAGACTTGGTTTAGATCTGGTTTAGACCTAGTTTAATCCTGTTTTAGACCTGGTTTAGATCTGGTTTAACCTTGTTTTAGACCTGGTTTAATCCTGGTTTAGTCCTGGTTTAGATCTGGTTTAGTCCTGATTTAGTCCTGGTTTAGATCTGGTTTAGGCTTGGTTTAAGCTCCGGTTTAGTCCTGGTTTAGATCTGGTTTAGGCCTGGTTTAATCCTGGTTTAAGTTCCGGTTTAGTCCTGATTTAGATCTGGTTTACACCCAGTTTAGACCTGTCACAGACTTGCTTTAGACCTGTTTTAGACCTGTTTTAGACCAGCTTTAGACCTGCTTTAGACCTGCTTTAGACCTATTTAGACCTGTTTTAAACTTGTTTTAGACCTGTTTTAAACTTGTTTTAGACCTTCTTTAAATCTGTTTTAGACCTCTTTTAGACCTGCTTTAGACCTGATTTAAATCTGCTTTAGACCTGTTCTAGACCTGTTCTAGACCTGCTTTAAACCTGTTCTTAAACCTGGTTAACACGCATCTTTTTTGAACTGTCAACACGTCCATTATTTCAGTCCTGGCTTAGACCTGATTATAATATTACATTTGTTCTGTTCTGTCTCCTCCAGGTACCAGAGCCAAGCTGACAGTCCCACGGTTCCTCATGTGTCACCTGGCGTTCGCTGACCTGTGTATGGGCGTGTACCTGGTCGTCATAGCGACAGTGGACATGTTTACGCGGGGGAGATACTACAACTACGCCATCGACTGGCAGACGGGGCTGGGCTGCAGCGCTGCCGGCTTCTTCACTGTGAGTATAAACGCACAGGTCAGACTTCTGTAAACGTAAATATTATATGAACATTGGACTTTTGAGCTTAACTGTTAAAAACTGCAGAACTGATGGGAGAGGATTTTCATGTATCCATTTTTATTTATTAATTTATTTATTTATTCATAGTGGTGGAGATAGGGGGTAGGTGAAAACGGCATGTGTGTCCCAAATGTAGGACAATACAGGTTTAATCAAACATGCATGACTCAATCTAAATCAGGGCAAGACAAGGTAAGTTTATTTGTATAGCACAATTCGTACACAAAGTAATTCAATGAACCTGAAATGCCGGGTAATCAAACTAAGGCCCATGGGCTGACTCCGGCCCCAACGCCCCTTTGACCGGCCCCCAGCCCCGCTGCCCCTCACCACTTGAACTGGCCCCACGAGGCAATCCTCAAAAGTTCATGGCCTATTTTTTTTTTTATTACTTTTTGGCAAATAATAACACGTCTGCATCTTGTAGTTTGTAGATTTTTTCAATTATAAAATGATATTTATATGAAGTATTTATATTAATATTTAAATAATTATATGTCGTATTTGCATTTTCCACAGAATTTGCTGTCGAATTTTCGTCACCTGACAAGTTCGAGATCAAACAGTGACAGTCACATGCGCAGAATACTGTAGTGCAGTAAAGGACAGAAAAATGACTCGTGTTAAAGTACGAAAAGTTGATAGAGCGCGCAGAGTTTTTAAAGAACAGATGACGACCGATTATTATTTTGTTCGGCGTGAGGACAGTGCAGTTTGTCTGATATGTAAAGAAAGTGTGGCGGTTTTCAAAGAACATAATCTGCATCATCAGGGTCATACAGGTCTTTGGGAAACAAGGCCATAACTAACTCCATGTCACATATAAGAATACATCTGTCATTATAATAATAACACTGATAATTACTTGAACACTGTAGCTTCTTTATTTGACAATCCCAAACGTACAATGTCGTTGTTCAAACACTAATAAAACACTTAAACACTAAGCACTAAAATAAGGACTGTCAGAAACTTATCTTTCATCTAAATTACTGCAGGTTATAAACAAACTTCCAGATTTTATTATGATGCCATCGTGGAAATTGATGGGGTCATTTTCTTATCGATAAGTGGTTCATTTGACAACCCCAGGACTAATGAACCTGCACCAGATCTACATTTAGGATTAAACTAGGATCAAACTAGAACAACTGAACTGACAGAAATTGATCCTGCAATAGTCCTGGTTCAGTCCGAGTTCAGTCCTGCTCCAGTCTTGGTCTTTTCCAAGTTTGGTTTTAGTTGGTACTAGGTGTGTTCAAAAATGTTGAAATATCAATATATCGTATTCTTTAATGTGACGATACTGTATCGATATCGTGGGCTGCTGTATCGATATATCGCCAAGAGTATTTTTTGGTTTATTTTACTAAATTATTTTGTTACAGCGCTACAGTTTTGTTTGTTCAGAGGAAGGAAAGTCTTTTATGCGATACGTTGGACATTTTCACTGTTTTGATGATTAAAATGTTTGTGTTTCATATTCACTTTGCACAAGAAGTGGTTTAAACAAAAACTTTTAGTATCACAGCCATAATTTAGACATCATTTTTTTATTGAAGCGCATTGAAACGATTTGAAATGAATTGTATTGAATCGTACACTCACTGTATTGAGGTATGTATCATATCGGCAACTTCTGAATGATTCCCAACTTTACTTATCCCAGGCATGTTGCATTTATATTCCAGGTTTTTGCGAGTGAGTTGTCCGTGTTCACATTGACGGCCATCACCCTGGAGCGCTGGCACACCATCACCCACGCCCTGCGCCTGGACAGGAAGCTCCGCCTGAGGCACGCCTGCTTCGTCATGACCGGGGGCTGGGTCTTCTCTCTCATCGCCGCCCTCCTCCCAACACTAGGGGTCAGCAGCTACGGCAAGGTGAGGGTTTACTCCTGGTTTAGTCCTGGTTTAGTCCTGGTTTAGTCCTGGTTTAGTCCTGGTTCAGTCTTGGTTTAGTCCTGGTTTGGTTCTGGTTTGGTTCTATTTTAGTCCTGGTTTGGTTCCTGGTTTATTACTGGTTTAGTTCACATTTAACCCAATTTAGTCCTGGTTTTGTACTGGTTCAGTCTTGGTTTGGTTCTGGTTTAGTCCTGGTTTGGTTCTTGTTTAGTTCTGGTTTAGTCCTGGTTCAGTCCTGGTTCAGTCCTGGTTCAGTCCTGGTTCAGTCCTGATTTGGTTCTGGTTTAGTCCTGGTTTGGTTCTTGTTCAGTTCTGGTTTAGTACTGGTTCGGTCCTGATTTGGTTCTGTTTAAGTCCTGGTTTAGTCCCGGTTTAGTCCTGGTTCATTCCTGGTTTAGACCTGGTTTAGTCCTGGTTTAGTCCTGGTTTGGTTCTGATTTATTTCTGGTTTAGTCCTGGTTTAGTCATGGTTTAGTCCGGGTTTAGTTCTCCTAGTTTAGTCCTGGTTCATTCCTGGTTTGGTTCTGGTTCGGTCCTGGTTTAGTCCTGGTTTAATCTCAGTTTAGTCCTGGTTTAATCCTGGTTTGGTTCTGTTTTACACCTGGGTTGGTTCTGGTTTAATAATGGTTTAGTCCGGGTTTAGTTCTCCTAGTTTAGTCCTGGTTCAGTTCTGGTTTAGTCCTGGTTCATTCCTGGTTTGGTTCTGGTTCGGTCCTGGTTTAGTCCTGGTTTAATCTCAGTTTAGTCCTGGTTTAATCCTGGTTTGGTTCTGTTTTAGATCTGGTTTGGTTCTGGTTTAGTAATGGTTTAGTCTGGGTTTAGTTCTCCTAGTTTAGTCCTGGTTCATTCCTGGTTTGGTTCTGGTTCAGTCCTGGTTTAGTCCTGGTTTGGTTCTGTTTTAGACCTGGTTTGGTTCTGTTTTAGACCTGGTTTATTCCAGGTTTTGTTCTCCTAATTTAGTGCTGGTTCATTCCTGGTTTAGTCCTGGTCAGTCCTGGTTCAGTCCTGGTTCAGTCCTGGTTCAGTCCTGGTCTTTCTCTGTCATCACCTCCCTCCTCCCAACACTAGGGGTCAGGAGTTTCGTCGAGGTGAGGCTTTACTGAGGGGATCTGGTCCATTAGTGGAGAGAGTTGGAATGTAGAGGTTTTGAAGGGTCAGTAATGCGATGGTGAGGCTGTTTTTAATGGATTTTAAGGCAGACAAATCCAGAATATTAAACTACAAAATATAAAATACATTCCTAAGTGAAAAGTGTTGGAATGAGAGGTATGCGGTGTATGAAAACTCTGGAACTAACTTTGTGTGCAGTTATAGCTTCAGAATTTACGCATTCAAGGTTTTATGTTACGCAAAATTCCTCCAGGTCTGTTTGTGATGAGGAAACAACATTATTACAAATCAGAAAATAATGTAATATGGGTTCAGTCCTGGTTTGGTCCTGATTTAATCCTGGTTTAGTCCTGGTTCAGTCCTTTTTTTGTCCTGGTTCAGTCCTGGTTTAGTCCTGATTTAATCCTGGTTTAGTCCTGGTTCAGTCCTGTTTTAGCCCTGGTTTAGTCCTGGTTTAGTCCTGGTTTAGTCCTGGTTCAGTCCTGGTTCAGTCCTGGTTCAGTCCTGGTTTGGTCCTGATTTAATCCTGGTTTAGTCCTGGTTTAGCCCTGGTTTAGTCCTGGTTTAGTCCTGGTTCAGTCCTGTTTTAGTCCTGGTTTAGTCCTGGTTTAGTCCTGGTTCAGTCCTGGTTTAATCCTGGTTCAGTCCTGGTTCGGTCCTGGTTTGGTCCTGATTTAATCCTGGTTTAGTCCTGGTTTAGCCCTGGTTTAGTCCTGGTTTAGCCCTGGTTTAGTCTTGGTTTAGTCCTGGTTCAGTCCTGGTTCAGTCCTGGTTCAGTCCTGGTTTGGTTCTGGTTCAGTCCTGGTTCGGTCCTGGTTCAGTCCTGGTTCAGTCCTGGTTCAGTCCTGGTTTGGTTCTGGTTCAGTCCTGGTTCGGTCCTGGCTTACTCCTGGTTCAGTGCTTGTTTGGTTCTGGTTCAGTCTTGGTTTGGTTCTGGTTTAGTCTTGATTTAGTCCTAGTTCATTTCTGGTTCAGTCTTGGTTCAGTCCTGGTTCAGTTCTGGTTCAGGCCCTTAAATCTTGATTGAGCAAAAAAAGTGTCTGATATTTTAGAATCAGTTACAGAGTGAGTTTTTAATAAATAAATAAATAAATATAAATGCAGTTGCTCAAAATTTGTTTTCTGAATAAATATTGTTGTATTTATTCTGCTAAAGCCTGATATTTGCTCAGAGCAGAGGTCGTCGTTTTGCAAGTCTCAAGTAAGTCTGAAGTCTTTGACCTCAATGAATCCAAGTCAAGTCCAAGTCGTCTGCTTTGAGCTTCAAGTCATTTCAAGTCTTTAAACCAAAGTAATAAATATAGCTTAGATTTTTGCAATTTCTATGACTTTTAAACTAAATTGTACTTAAAAAGTCAGGGTATATTTATATGTGAGTATTTATATAAAAATTGTAGAAATGCAAATTTTTCTAGACTAGATCTGAGTGTGAATCATTACGGTCAGAATAATTTAAAAGTGCTTAACAAGAGTTATTTTGTCATGTGTCTGCATTGAAATGGAAGGATTGTACTGTATATTACTGTAGTACCTTTGAGTATCACAGTACTTCAGTTACATCCAAAGTAACAAACAATAGTGGGACGGACATGTTCCAGTTTGTTCCTTTAAAATTCAGTGCCACATTTAATAAATGTAAGGAGAAAAGTATTTTTTTTAAAAGAATATAATTTTTTAGAAATATCAAGTCTACTCAAGTTAAAGGCCTAAAGTCAAAGTCAAGTCCCAAATCAATGACTTTCAAGTCCAAGTCGAGCACCAAGTCTTAGTCCATTTTATCAAGTCAAGTCTCAAGTCCTAAAAATAGTCTGGCTTGAGTCCAAGTCACGACTCGCAAGTCCCACCTCTGGCTCAGAGAAACTTTGGTTGTATCAACACGATCAGTTTAGACCTGATTTAAAGGTTCACTGCGCAACTTCTCTGGTGGAGTTTCTGCTACCTGTTTGTCTCCATGGAGATGTTACTGCTTTGCCTAGAATGTTCCATGGTATGACTTTAAACATATTCATCTCGCATTTATTCATTACGGGTGTAGTTTGCTCAAAAACACAATAAATCCTTCTGTGAATAGGGGCGACTCTAGTCTAATCTAGCGAGTTTAAAAACACAGTGGAGCACTGTGGAGTTTTCTATTTGAGAAAACCAGCCTGACCAGCCTGTGTTTGTGAGTTAAACATGTGTGAATAAAATAAAACCCAAGTATCCAGGGATGTTTTGATGAGGAAATAACATTATAAGTAGAAAACAGCGTAGTATGAGTCCTTTAAGTGAACAGAATTATACCAGTTTGTATAAGGTGCTATATATAAGCATATTATTGTTATAGTTTTATTATACCTAAAATTAGATCACAAATTGACAAAAGTCCACTTTTTGTTTACAGCAACACTTTCAGTCTCATACTTATCAGTGTTACTATTGATTTAATTGTGTTGGTGTCCTTGAGCGCCTACTGCTCACTGCTCCTTTTAAAAATGCACATAATTGATTTTTATTGGAGGAAAATAGGAGAAGCTGTTACTTTTTTTTTTTTTTTTTTTTGCTCATGTTATTATTTTGTTGGCACCAATTTAAAGAGAACAACAACAACAAAAATCTCACAATTAACACAAATTCATATTTCTACAATTATTTGCCTTGTCTTTGCTGAATGAACAAAAGGAACAGGAAGGAGATAAATATTATAAACTGTGCTCCTTTCACAGATCAAAAAATTATCCATTTCTTTAATAATCAGTCCCCACCCCAAAAACCAAACCAAGTCACATTCAAAACTGCAGTGCTGTCTTTGTCCTTTTTTATGAATTGCAAATCCATAGGTGTTCAAAGTGACCATGTAGTTTCAAAAGAAGAATGTCAAAGTTGTTATAAAAAGCAGATTTGGCGACAAATTCTGGATTGATGGCAACAGTGTAAACCAACAAGATCAGGTTTTTTACATTTTGATAATAAAAGCCAAACACAGGGTCTGGTCAGTACTCAGTGGTCAATTCAATACGTGAATCTCGAATTTCAGACTTCCGGTCATCACTCATTACATACTGGGAAGGGCCCTCCGAAAAAGTGACCATCAAATCGCCATGTTTGATTTCCCAGTGGGATGCGTCTATTGTCAAGTCTGTTGAGCCACATCGCTTTAGTTTCTGGTTCTGATATTGTCATATTTTAGTTTTGGGATTCGTAATTGTGTGGTTGTTGAATGTCCTAACAGCATCTGTAAATGCAAAAGGGAATCAGATGTGTCTGACTCCAAATCTCTGTTCAAACTGTTTCCCTTCCCAACGAAATTTAAAAATAGTGAAAGGTGAAGGCGATGGGCAGGATTGATCCACAGGAAGGACCAAAAAGGAAACCTTTGGCTGCCTAAGAAATCATCCGAGTTTGCAGGGAACATTTTGTATGTAGAGCGCCATCAAAGTTAAAACCCGTTGGTTAAGCGAGAGGTGCAGAAGATAAGTGACTTTACAGCAACATCACGTCTTGGTCGCTTTGCAGTGGAAGTTGTTTCTTGGCGAACAGTTGGTGCCTTTTGCTTTGGTGTTGACTTTTTAAATTCGTAACCAAGGTTGAGCGAAGAGATCAGGATTTTACTATGTTGGCGCTCCACATGCAAAATGTTCGCCGCAAACTCAGGATGATTTCTTAGGCAGCCAAAAGTTTCCTTTTTCGTCCTTCCTGTATATTAATGCTGCCCATCGCGTTCGCCTTTCACTATTTTTCAATTCCGTTGGGAAGGGAAACAGTTTGAACAGAGGTTTGCAGTCACGCACATCTGATTCCCTTTTGCAGTTATGGAGTTCGCAAACTTTTGAAGCCCATTTTCCGCTGTTAGGATCCAACAACCACACAATTAGGATGTCTGAATCCCAAAAATAAAATATGACAATATCAGAACCAGAAACAAAAGTGATATGGTTCAAAAGACTTGAAAAGATCGGCTTTGACAATAGACACATCCCACTGGGAAATCAAACATGGAGGCTTGATGCTCACTTTTTCGGAGGATCCTTCCCAGTATACATTGCGTGATGACTCAAAGTCTGAAATTCAGGATGCATGTATGCAATGTTATCATAGTACTCGTTACCAACTAATCTCCATATATTTTGTTTTTCTTGTCTCTTCCAGGTGAGCATCTGTCTTCCAATGGACGTAGACTCCATCGTGGCTCAGATCTACATCATCTCCCTGCTTCTTTTAAACGTGTTGGCGTTTTTGTGCGTCTGCGCCTGTTACCTGAGCATCTACCTGACCATCCGAAACCCAAGCTCCGCCCCCGCACACGCCGACACACGCATCGCCAAACGAATGGCCCTCCTCATCTTCACCGACTTCCTCTGCATGGCTCCTATATCTTTCTTCGCTCTCTCCGCCGCCTTAAAACTCCCGCTAATCACAGTTACAGACGCCAAGTTTCTTTTAGTCCTGTTTTATCCGATTAACTCCTGCTCTAATCCGTTTTTATATGCTTTTTGTACACGTACATTTAGGAGGGATTTCTTTTTAATGGCGGCGAGGTTTGGGGTGTGTAAAACCAGGGCTCAGATCTACAGAACAGAGAGCTCGTCATGCCAACAGCCGGCCTGTATCTCTCCCAAAAGCAGCCACATTATGTTATACTCTCTGGCCAACACTCTCCACAGTATAGATAGTAAACAAGACTTCTGACATAGATACAAAAAAATATATATGTTTGGCGATTGTACAATTTTGTCATTACGAAGATTGAAACAGCGAAATGGAAAAATTTGTTTTTTATTTTGCTGTCCCAGTTTTTATTTAAAGATCCTATACTACACAAAATTGATTCTCATGAGGTTTGAGTCATGTTAAAATGTTGTTGCCTCCTCATAAACACACCTGGAGTTGTGTTTTATTTCATTCACATATGTTTGAGTAACCTGCATTATTAGGCTTTCCACATCTCCAAATCTCTAAATTTTATCCCACCTTGTGATGTCATGTAGTGGTAGTTTTCAAGTTAATAGCTAGTTTTTACCTTTAGTTTGGCAGAGCATAGAGAAAAATCCCGCATGCTGTTTTACTTGCAAAATGTGAGATTTATTAGGACAAACCGTGCAACATTTTGGCACTAGGCCTTCAACAGGCAATCCTAGAACATTTTGCAAGTAAGACGGTGTGCGGGATTTTTCTCTATGTTCTTGGGCTGCTCCCTCTCCTCCAACATAACCGTCTCAAGTAACTGATGTGCGAAGTTCTCATTGTTTTATACCTTTAGTTTAGTAGAAATGGGCAGTTCCAGGGTTGAACTCATCTAAATGATTCTAGTAAAAGTGTATGGAGTTTAAAAACACAGTGGAGCATCAGAAAGTGTTTTCTGTTTGAAAGAACTCAGCCTAAATATGCAAGATTTGTGTTTTAAACATGTGAAAATGAAACAAAACACAACTCCAGGTCTGTTTTTGATGAGGAAACAAGTGGAATATGGGCCATTTAAAGGTGCACTATAATGTTTCTGATATATATGGTCTGCCACAAACTTAGTACTTACTTAGTTATCAGAATAATAACAGTTTCCACAGTGATTAACAATTTCACTGTGGAAACTTTGGAAAATGTCATTGCTTTGTGGAGAACAGGGGTGTCCAAACTTTTTTCATCAAGGGTCACATATCTAAACACAGAAGAAGCAGAAGGCTGATCGAGGGCCGTAGACTGGAGCTCAGTACAGTGAATAATTGAAATATGTGCATGTTTAACACGTTAGAATGAGCCATCAGTCTTTATTCATGCTAAGATTGTTAAAACCACACACTAAATATTAAATATTAACTTTATCAAGGTAGATTTTCAAAAAACTTGCAGTAAAAAGTAAATTTTTAATTGATGCAAGGTCATTTGGGCTAATTCATCTGGAAGCCTGAGGGCCAAGAAAAATTTGTCTGAGGGCCGCATTTGTAGTTTGGACATGCCTCTTCTAGAATGTTCCTCAATATAGCATCAAACTTTTCTTTCTTCCATTAATTCAGTTACACTTTTTTTGCTCAGGTATTCCTTGAAAAACATGCCATCTTACAGTGAATGGGCTTACCTTTCCACAGATCTGACTTGTAACATGTCACCTGCTCACCTCCATGGAGATATAGTGGCAGACCCTCCATCAGAAGTTTCATAGTGTAACTTTAAAGGATGCTCATATAAACAGCCACCTCAGCCTCTCCATCTCGTCTTCTTCTTACCAACACCAGTTTCTAGATCGATGTACTAAAAGAAAAAAACTCTTATAACTACATACACACGTCTTTCTGGTCAATAAGCTCTGGTTGAAATATAAAATCATGTTTAAACTGCAATTGCACTAATATAAAATCAAAAACAGACAATAAGAATTCATACTAATACTTTTATTACCTTTTTGTCATGAGTTTTTACTGTGCATTTTGTATATAGTACCTCTCTGTAAAATTGTCAGTCTTACACAAATTACTCTTTAAAGGTGCATTATGTAACTTTTTGGTTGTTAAAGGTGATTTTATAGCTCAAAAATACCTAAACATTCTGAGTGGGGGTCATCTCTCCACAGATCTGACTTGTAACTTGGTCTGGTTTGGTCTCCATGAACATAGAAAGGTTTAATGCCATACTGTGAAACATTCAGACAGAGCAATATCATCTCCACAAAAGACTCACCCTCCAGCGGAAAAGTTACACAATGCACCTTTAAACTGTATATAAACCTGTACATACGTGTTTATTAATGAAATTGTGCATATTTCCTTTTGTAAACTGACTTTTCATTTTGTGTTTTTACCAATACTGAGATAAAATAAAGCTTTCAAATAATATAGATGTTGAGTCGTATATCTTGTTTTTGTTGCTGCAAAACCAGTGTTTGAACTTTCTTGTTTATCGATGGATTTGGGCCATAAAACAGTTGAGCTGCAGAGAGAGGAGACAGAGGAGAATACTAAAGAGAAGTCTGACCCCAATGACTTCACCTGAGAGCCCTTTCTTATGAGGAAAACCATAAAACCAAGATTAGACCAAAAGATTAGGATAACATTGTCAAAAAATGTTACAACAAGGCAACAAAAGCCAGTTTGTAGAAAAATATACTGTTTGGAATATTACAGTATGGCAAAGAGAAGCTGCAAAGTGGAGCTTTATAGTGGTACTTATTTGTACTCAACTTGTACTCATATATTATCACAACGTGTGTACTCTAAGGTTACATTTACACATAGCCGGGTATGTTGAGAAATTAATATTTCCCTCCTTTCGTTTTCCTACACACAGCATCGTTTTCAAAAAAGTTTTCATTTACATCAACCTGCATAAATACACCATCGAGCGCCGTCATAACTACGTCCAAGCCTCTGGGCTGGATTAGATTCAAACCTGTAGCATTTATTTGATTACAGTTGTAAGTATTACTCAAATATACCTTGAAAAATGTGCATTAGTGAGCGGGCTCGCCTCTCCACAGATATTTTAAAGAAGTGGCAAAATTGCTGACCCCTGAGCCTCATTGGTCTCTGGTCATGGATATGATCCATCAGTTATGTGTGCAAATGCAAACACATGAAAAGTGTTTGCATCAGAAAAAATGAGACTGCTGCTCTGAATGCTTCATCATCATCGTCATCAGAGCAAAAGGGAAACACTGGTCACACTTTTGTGCATCAGCTCCTAAAACTCCATTTATCTCACTTTACACATAAACACCAAATTGTAGTGTAGTTTTCCAGAATCTCCACTCTAGCGAGAGTTTTTTAAAAAGATTCGTTTTCAGAGGCAAATTCGCTGTTTGCGTGTAAAAGATGTGTACAAACGAAGAGAACTGTGTCCCGTGTATGTACATAACTCTAACCTGTGTACGTGTAAAGAGCTAAGCAGCTCCACATAAGATCCCTGGTGAAATTTAAAGGTCATATATTACACAAAATGCACTCTTATGAACTTTAAGTCATGTTATAATGTTGTTACCTCATCAGAAATATACCTGGAATTGTGTTTAGTTTCAGTCACACATGTTTGAGTAATCTTTTATTGTTACTCTGTCTACATCTCTAAATGAAAAAGTGTGTGTGTATATGTTTTGTTTGAATAACATATCTGTATCTGTTTACACATGAATAAAAACATATGAAACCGAAACACGCGTGAATGAAACAAAACACAATTCCTGGTTTGTTTGTGATGAGTAAAAAACATAACATAAATCAGAAAACAGCGTAATATGGGCCCTTTAAAACCAAACTTTGGAACTTTTGTCCATGGACCAAGACTTTGGGTTTTATGCCTTTGGATTGTTCGAGGCAAATTAAGAAGATCTCCATGGAGACCAGAAGTTGGCAAACCTTTCACCAGGAAAGTCAAGTGAGGTCTGTGGAGAGACAAACCCCCTCAGAGTAAGGCTGCATATTTTTCAAGGTCTTTTAGTGTAATAAAAACACTTTTAATGAAATAATTACTTTCTTTTCACTGTGTTTTTGGCTGAAATCTTAGCCAGTGGGATCAAATTTTCATATTTTTTTCAATATTAATTTCTATCTTACATTGTGTCCAAATAATTCTCATTGTGAGTTCGTGAATTTTGTCTTTTCTTGTGATAAAAACGAAACTTTTCACCACAATTGTCTATTTAGTTTTGACTTGTACATGCCCTATTATGAGTAAGTGTGTTTATAAGTGTTTACAGCCAACTTTCCTTGAACATTTGTATTATAACTTAAGTAAAAACAAACCTTGACCACCTGTTGTTTGGCCTTGTGCGTTTGGACCACAGAAAACACACTTGGGGTTGTCTCCAGGCACAGACAGCATCAAAAAGCCCACCTATGGCTGCTCCATCTGGGTCAAAGAGCTGTCCCAGATCTGTCACGGGCCCCGGGAACACAGAGGGGTGAATATGCAAAGAAGAAGTTCAAAATAAACCAGCCAGAAAAACAGGAACAAATGTATTAAAGCTGCACTAGGGGACTTTTCTTCTAATGATCGAGACTGGAGTTTGACATTAAACATATCTATCTTGTTTTACCTCAATTGCAGGTATTTTTATTGCTTCAAGGTGCATTGTGTAACTTTTCTAGTAAAGGGTCAGTCACCTGCTTGTTTCTATGGATACATCAAATGTTCCACAGTACTGTAAACCCAAATGTTCAGTGTAATTAAACAGATTAAGTTATTAAGTGTAAAGAAAGTTTTAGAAATTGTCTCACTAACTTAATTATGTCAAGTTGCTGTAACATGTTTTTTGAGTAATTTTAACCAATATTTTTTAGGTACAAGCAGTAAACCATCCATCCTTTTAAGTTCTGGAAGATTGGGACTTTTAAGACTACGTTTACACTGAAACAAATCTGCGTATCACTGTATCACTGTGTCGTAAACGATCTGTGTCCAGACACGTTGTTTCTGTGTCCACAATCCTTCCCTATCCACACAGCTTTCCGCATATTTGTTTGCGTTTTATAGAAACGACACTTAAAACCCTATGGCTAATCTGCATAAACTGAGCGCTCAAAAAACAGGTCGCTATTGTGCGCTGATGCAGTTCGGTTTCTGTTGGACTAAAGGACACGACTCAGTGGAATATGAGTGTTGTTTCTGTGACAGAGGGGTGTTCTGCTGATGGTGAGTCTGTTCTGTGGTTCTGTCACGTTGGAGATGGTTCATGTTAAACTTTTCAGAGATTATACACCTGC